CTAACTAAAACTGTTGCATAAGCTGTAATTTCTAGACTCGTCCTGCTTGATTTCAAGCAAAAATGTTTAAAGCTTTTTACACTTTAAATCACTGTTTTGATTTAGTTTTCTAATTTGACCCCACACAGGAGGGAACTGCCGGCAAAACAGCTCTCCACCTCGCCGTCGAGCTACACGACATGACATCGGTGAAGCTGCTGCTTAAGGAGGGAGCCAACGTGGACGCTCCCATGTTTAACGGCTGCACGCCGCTGCACCTCGCCGTAGGCAGACAAGACGCGCAAATCGCCGACCTCCTCTGCCAGTTTGGCGCCGACAAAATGCTGCGAAACATGGAAGACGAGACAGCGCTGGATCTGGCCGACGGGAACAATGATGTAAGCAGCTGTTGCTGATTGTTTTTGGTCATGTTAAAAATAAAAGGAACCAGAATTTAACATTTAGGTTTCGTTTTTGCGACATATGTCAGAGATTTGTCTAGAAACACTCACCAGGTGACAGGAACACCATTTGGGGATATTTAATATAGTGGTTAAAATACTCCAAAACAAGTTGTTTTTAAATTAAATCTTTTAATTTGATGGAGGGAAATCATTTTATTGACAGTTTTTTCAATTCTTATAAAATAAATGTAACCTGATTGCTTATTTCAATTTAACTTTTCTTTCTTTAAATCATCAAAAAACTTTTCATTTGTATTTCATGACTTCCTTGTTTGGTTGGAAATGTCTACATATATCTAAATAAGCTACTTGCATATTTTTTTAAATAATTGTGGAGGGTGTTGTACATTTCTGAATCTGGTGCAGTTTTTGCATGGTAACTCCGAAGCCCTAAGATGATTTATTATTAAACGAAAGATATTCCTCTTCAGTTCTAGGGTCTTTGTACTTGTAGTTTGTAAAATTCCCAGTTTACTTTTTAATTCTTTATTTGTTTTCATTCAACAGTTTAATTCTCTTTATCTTTAAATCTGAAAGCCTCAGCCACTGTAGCAAAGCAGTTTTTATATATCATCTTAAATGACCTCTTCTTGGGTTTTTTGGATATTGCACAACTTTTCTAAGCCTTCGAATTGACAAAAGACAGAAGAAATGTCTCAGTTTTTTTTACAGGGTGATGAGTGAGATAATTTGCAGACAAGCTTCCAATCAAACCAGAAAACAAAGTCAAAGTTATAAAAAACTACACAGAGTGTAAAGAAAAATAAAGAGTCCGCTAACTGACTCCCACAGATATCTGATCCCAGCATCGCGTGCATCTGGGATTACGAGAAGAGGCCGATCAAAAAGGCGGCTGAAATTTCCTACAGTCTAAAACATTTTAGTAACTTTATGTACTCAAGACTTAGTACTTCTGTGTTTTTCCTTTTTGTCAAAAACTGCATGTCTTTTGGGGGACAAAAGCATTTAATCTCAGTTGAGATTATTTTGACACTTATTTCTGTTTTTCTTCCAGATTCTGGCGCTGTTTCCATTTGATGACATCCAGATCTCCGGAAGGTCGGTGGTGACCTTTTGAACACTGCCAGATGATGGAGTATCGCACACCTGGAGCCTGAATGCAGCTGGAACTTTTTGATTTAAATAATTAAAGTTTTTTTTTAACTAAGTTGTTTATGAAATAGTGGCTTTATACATAGTTGACTCTAATATCTAGTGAGAAATGTGCACCATATTAATCTGCTCTTCTGATGGAGCAACTTCACTTAAACTGAACGCTGATTTACAAAAACAGAATCAGGATGTGTTCTCAACATTAAAATGTGCCCCGGTGCAAGTGCCAAACTATCGACATAGGTGCCCCCAAAAATGCTACCTCTTCTACAAATGGAAATTGTTTTCGCTGCCTTCATTTTAAAGACAGTCTGTGCATATGAAATTATGAAAGCATGGCCTTTTATGTTTGGTTTAGAGAATGCATTTGTAAGCAGATAATATTTTGGTAGCAAAATTTACCTTTCTGCAAACTAATCACACCCCTGCTTATGACAGCAAACTGATAGCCAGTATGAAAAATGTAATATATTAAAAAATAAAATGCAGCTTAATGTTTCTTTTTTTTTTTAAGGTTTGCTGCTTTGTGATGTAGAACAATGTATCTATTTATCTCTTCTTGTACTCTGTAGAAAGCCGCAGATGTTTCTTTGCATGTAATTACACTGGCCTCTCTTGCTGCAATGAGCAGTTCATTTATTTTGTAATAAAAGTTAAAACAACATCTGCATATGTGTGTTCTTTTTCTGGGAAAAGGAAGTTTTGATTTTTATTAATGTGTTTTGGCACCACTTTTGTTGGTGCACACCCTAACCTGAATTAACAACTCTGCAGTGGAAAGTCCAGGTTTGCTCAAGTATTCTTAAAACCGATTCAGGCTTGTATGCAAGAGCCTATGTGGAAAAACAGAAATAATATGAGTGGAGATGATTTAAAGACTAAAGCTAATTTTAAATTATATAAAACATGCAGATCAACTTTTCTGATTGTATCCAGTTTGCATGGTTTACCCACATGACAAAGTTCTTTTTTTGTTTCCTGTCACCTGCCCCTGCAAGGTGTAACTTTTGTTTTACTGTAAGTGTCTTCTTCCTTATAGCATTTACAATACAATGAACACAGGGCGGTTGGAAATTCCACCCCACTGGATCTCATTTGTAAACACGCCGGCAGCTAAACTGGTTCACAAAGAGGGCTTTTTGACTCAATGACTCTCTTGCATGTGATGATACCCAGGTAATCTGTTGCAAGCAAGCATATGTGTGCAGAAATTCTGGTAAATTTGGAGCAGTACAAAATGATTCTACTTGTGTAAACAGCTGGAACACAGTGTTACTCAGCTGTACCTACTTCCCTATTCAACTGTGACCTGGGAAACTCTAAAGCTATTTGTGTATTGTGTCTGTTGGTCATTCTGGTAAAGACCTGCAGGAAAGAGGCTCTAAGCATTGTGCGGTTTTCTATAGAAAGCATAACAAAAAAAAAAAATCTAGCTTTACTCAGAAGTTCAGGAATTTTGTTAGAAAATGTTGCTTACGGCACTAAATGCTTCAGTTCATACAGCTACTGATGTGAGAGTATGTTTGACCAGTTCTTAAATATTTGCACTAAAAATCTCCACAATTATTTTAGCGTGTAATTTGTTTCTGCAAACAAGCCACACATAATTTAATGCTGCATTGCATGCTGCTGGAGCTAATAGTTGTATTGTGCAGAACTTTCATAGCTCTAAAGATATTATAGATAAAATAAAGCCATATTAAAATATGCAGAAAATTCAACCGTGGGGATATATCTGATTAAAAATATGTGCTTTTGAAAAATTTCTTGCTAAATTATTCACACATTTTGATCTTTTCTACATTTTATCACATTTCAATCTTAAATTTTTATGTATTTTTTGTGATATGCCAACACTAAATTGTGCACTATTTTGCAGTATAAAGAGAAAGATGAAGAAGAGAAGGATTTACAGTTTCCCATTAAAGTTATTGATTGTGCAAAAAAGATGTAAAGGGTTGTGAATACTTTTTGGAAGAGACCTTCAACTTGAAATTGCTCTTTAGTATCTTGTCCATTACTGCTGACGTGACCATTTGTTAGAAAAGAACCAAGGGATCGGTTTTAATGTGCACAATAACTTTTGACTGGCAGAAATGCCAAAGTATGAGTTTTCTGCAAACTGGTAGAAAAGGTTCCCACATCTTTCAATTTGACATAAGAATGAAATCGTTAACACAGTTTATAGTAACACATGAATCTGGCTCTTTGTATTTAGTATTCTAGGTTAGCTCAGTGAGGATTTCTGATTTGCAGCGGAAAAATCTGCCACTTCACTAGGTCACGGTTGAGTAATCCTACCTACCCTTCTTTATCTCCTCCTACTGTTTGACCTCTCCACCTTCTGCGCACCACCCTCAATATTCTCTTTTAATTTGCTCCATGGAAAATGTTCAGCTGTGAGCTCTACTGAGGTGTATGCAGTCTTACATTAAGCTCTAACCTTAGGAGGTGTAGAACCCCTACTGAGCATAACACAAAAGTTTCACTCAGACAGGAAAACAGTGCGTGAGTTACATGAAGATAAATATGATATGAAGATCTTATAGATCTCTTTCCTCATGAATAGACAGAATATGTAATATAAACAAAGGTGATGTTAAATTAGTCTGAAAGGTTGGATTTAAGGACATTGCAGCATTTTTCCCCTTCTGTAACTTGTGGATAAAGAAATGAAAAAAAATGTCAAAACAGTATGTTAAACTAAACAAAGGTTACCTCCTTTGTTTTTAAGATGAACGTAGCAAGGTGACACTTTAAGCCTGTTAGAGGCTGGATAGACTTGAAACTGGGGCATAAGTTCATCTTCCTGTATGACAACATCAAGCACACAACCAAGGCTCCGATGGAAAAGTTTAAATCAAAGCATCTTTACATTTTAAAATTATTCAGAAAAGTGTTTTGAGACTTCAAAATTGTTGTCTATCTATCCCTTACTATCCGCCCAATCTTATTTGATTGGACTATTTCACAGCATTTTGAATTACTGGACATGAAAAGCTTACAGTTATCCCCTCAATGACTTGCAACTATAATTTCAGCAAAAACACATTTCTAAAAACGTATTAAGTACCTGGATACTCTGAACTTTTCAGATTGGTTATAGAAAGCAAACATTCAAAAAAGGCTGTACCCATTTGCTACTTGGTACTAATTTCTCATTTTAACAGTTAGCTCCAGGAGTACTTAATAGCTACAGTAAACGTTTTTTCTTAGAAAATGGACCAAAAACAAGTATTTAATGAAATACAAAAAATATATGCATGCTTTGAAGTTTTAACCTTCTTGTACTCCTTACATTTAGTTTTTCTGGCATTACTATTGTTGAATACGTGAGTTTGGCTTGCAGTACCTCCTCCCGGCCAACAGGATGCAGTGTCGGCGAGATGGGGACGTTTTCAACCGCCTGCATCCTACTGGTGTTCATTAAAAAAAAAAAAAGAAGGGAGGCTTTCCTGTTGAAGTGTACACATCGTCTTCAGACAATAAGTGGAAAAAACTGGCTTAAAGGCGGATATCCAGAAAAGAGAGACACAAGGCCTAACGTTTTAAAACATCTCGTCCTATCCGACCGGAGCGGCTTCATGCTGCGTCACCGCGAAGACGTTTGAGAGCTGCTGCCGGGTGTGGGGCCACCGAGAGTGGGGGGAAAATGCCTTCTTTCTCGTGGAGGTAACCTCTTTTTTTATTTCAGCCGTGCAGGACCTGCGGAGGAGTGTTTTAGGCGTGGATGAGTTGAGCTGTCTCAAGTTAAGGATTTGTTTTTCAACAACAAATATGAAGAAATAAGGAGGCGTCATAACAGGAACACTGTTTAACGATATTGTTAATATTTTTGGTGAAATATTTTCGCATAAATTGCTGTATTTATGACACAATTGATGTTGTTTAGGTGAAGGAAAAGCTTGCAATTGCAAATGAAAAGAGTGAAAAAACTCTATTAAAGATATCGTTCAACTTTTGTGTTTTACTCACTAAACAAGTGTACAATAACAATGAATTCACAGCTCAGCAATTAAGCATTGCTTCCAACTGCAGGGTTTTGCAAAATGTAAACTTTTTTTATGAAGCAGAAACATGCAAAAATCTTCTACTCGTCTGTTTGGGTCGATGACATCACAAGAGGCCCAAAAATGGAGCTGCTCAATTGGGTTTAGCTAAAGTTATGTATAATTTAGCAATTGTAATAAATTGTGACAAAGATTATGAAGTATTTGAGTTGCAAAGGGTTCTATTGGGAAATATGACATAAAATCCAAGATTTCAATGCATCATATAGGCTGCACATTATGTAACCTTGCTGAAAATTGTGTATTTTACTGCGACACAATTTCCCAACCAGACATTGTGAGTTATATTACCACAGCTCACTGAAATATTAAGTATAAGAAACAAGAGAAGTTAGGAACTTCTACTATAATATCCTAGCATATACTGATTCCAACTCATCTTTTCCGATTTCTATATATCATTCAACATCGAATGTCAATATCTTCCTTATAAATACATCAGTCAGACTATATGAGAGTTAGCACAACTTGACCTAAATAAATTGCTGGAGATCTTCAATAAGAAAATCAGGTCATTGCAGTCTGCTCGGCTTCTCTTCGCAAACAGCTTCTATGTGTGTTATTGGTGCCAAATTTTTCTGTGATCCTTCTGGTGTTCCCACATTCAGCTCAGATGTTTTTCTGCAGCCATGCAGATCTCAAGTAAACGCCTGACACGCTGGTAAAACAGGCAAGTAGATAAAAAATACAAATGGATGTAGTCAAGAGCTTTAATCATTTGCCTGTTGCAGTGTGTAATTTCTCCAGCGCTGTATAGAAAGTTTTATATTCATAAAATAATGATTTACATTGAATTAAAAAAAAAACTTTTTGATATTCCTCTAAATAGGTGCAACTCTCTTGATTTCACAGAAAATCCCTTTAATTCGTTTCCCTCGGGAGACAAGAAATCCGAATTACGTCTCGCATCTCGTATTTCATGTCTCCTGTCGCGCGTCCCTCCCAGAACACATTTAACTCTCCAGGTGAAATTCGGCTATGTTTTCTCTGGAGTGCAGCAGCTTGTGAGCTGCATTCCTCCATGTAATGGACTTCTTGTTCATAGGCCGGGTCGTGGTGCAGTGGGCTGTTGGTTGACCAGAGCACAGCGCACAAAGAGATCCTGTGTTCAGGTCAGGCCCCTGAGAGGCGAGGGCCCGCCCCTTTCTAAAGAGGATACTCTACACTCAGCAGCGAGAGTATCACTTTTATGTAGGACGGAGCTGTTTTCTTTTGTGACTGACTTGACAGCTTGATGATATTTTGATTAACGATAGTGTAGTCGGCCTGCATACATACCAAGTGTGGTTTTACTTAATTTTACCGCACCTGTGAATTACAGTGTACGCAGAAGGAGGTTTTTGACATAGTGAGTTGCGTCAACAACAAATTCAGAGGCTGAAGTTGAGGTGAAGACGCAGCGTTTCCTAAACCTCAGTACTGTTTCCTGTTACCAGTGTATCTAAAATTAATTCTGCTTTTCCACCAAAAATGTGAATGCTTTTCTCATTGCCTTGTTAAATGTTGAGGTTATTTCTATGATTATTGGCTCTTTGTAGCTTGCAATCAATAGTGAGATAAGTTTAAATACATGCAACAAAGGCATGAACTTTATTTAATTCAATTTAAATTTCTTGGCAGAATTTTTACTTCCTTTCCTTACATGATCCTGGGTTTTATTCGTAGACTAGATATTGTCAACACTTTAACTTGCTATCCATCTGATAACCGTTTGTGATCACTGTCGATTAGAGAACCTATGTAGCTGTTAATTTGTACAATCTGGTAGTATCTCACTTTGAAATAGCCCCACAGCATAATACTTACACCACTAAGCTCGACAGTTGGTCTGACGAGCTGGTAAACTGGAACTTGTTCTCCGAGGGAATGCTTACATGTTCATTTTAAAATCTGATATACATTTTACAACTGGTCAGTTACACGGTTAATGTTTGGGATAGTACATTCTTCTGTTAAAACACACTTTCTTTCACCTCTACAGGGTTTGGCCTGCACTTGTGAACCTGTTTTTCCCTTGCGCAGTAATTGCAGAAGATCCCTCGTTGCTGAACAGCTGGCACGATGTCTGGTTCTTCCGTTTCCTCGTCAACATGCTGGGATACGCCACCATCATCGTCCCGGGATATTTTCTTATTAGTTACTTCAAACGCTCAAATTACCTGGACAGAGGTTTAAGAAGTTTAGTTTCTCTGAACAGACTGTTTTTCACCTGATTCCTTCCTTGAAATATGTTTGTTTTTTTCTCCCTTGACGTTCAGGTAGTGGGATTTGCTATCCGCTCATAAAGACCTGCGTGTTTGGTGGTGAGGACAAGAGCGGCCTGTTGGACGATGTGTCCACCTCAAGCAGGAACGAGCCTGACTCAGGCTCGTCAGTCAAACACACGATAAAGTTAATGTTTTGTGCAGCTGGACTTCAGGTAGGGGATCCTCCCAGAACCAACAGTCACTGTAAACATTGAGCTGACAATGAAACTACGTCATATTTCTACTCACACAGTATACGGGCAAGAAATGGATTCACAGACTTTCTTAGCTACTCTTTATGAAAAATAATTCTTAATCACAAAAACTACATTGTCCAAACAATCAGAGCACTTTTCAGACTAAATATACATCTGGGTTTTGTGAGATTAAGCTTCAAATTTGCCACATTTATCCATTCTTTTCTAATTAACATTTGGGTTTAGATCTGAAGAGCTAAAGTTTGCATCTTCTTCTTAGGCTTCTTATCTGACGTGGGGAGTCCTCCAGGAGAGAGTGATGACTCGCTCCTATGGAGCTGCAGCCCCAGACCACGACGGCGAGAAGTTCAAGGATTCCCAGTTTTTAGTCTTCATGAACCGCATCCTGGCGCTGACCGTGTCTGGACTCTGGTGTGTGTTGTTCAAGCAGCCTCGCCACGGCGCCCCCATGTACAAATACTCTTTTGCTTCGCTCTCCAACATCCTGAGCAGCTGGTGTCAGTACGAGGCCCTGAAGTTCATCAGCTTCCCCACGCAAGTCCTGGCCAAGGCCTCCAAGGTCATTCCTGTCATGCTCATGGGGAAGCTCATTTCTCGTAAAAGCTACGAGTACTGGGAGTACTTTACCGCCGTGCTGATCTCCGTCGGCGTCAGCATGTTCTTGCTGTCCAGCACGACGAGCAAGCACCCGTCCACTGTCACCACATTCAGCGGCGTCGTCATCCTCATTGGCTACATCGTCTTCGACAGCTTCACATCCAACTGGCAGGACAATCTATTCAAGTACAAGATGTCATCCGTGCAGATGATGTTCGGGGTCAATCTGTTCTCCTGCCTCTTCACCGTCGGCTCGCTGCTGGAGCAGGGTGCCTTCTTCGAGTCGCTGGCCTTCATGACGCGCCACTCGGAGTTTGCGTTCCACGCCGTGCTGCTGTCCGTGTGCTCGGCGTGCGGACAGCTCTTCATCTTCTACACTATCAACCAATTCGGCGCCGCCGTCTTCACCATCATCATGACGCTGCGCCAGGCCTTTGCCATTCTTCTCTCCTGTTTCCTCTACGGCCACGCCGTCACCGTCGTCGGGGGCTTCGGTGTCGCCGTGGTTTTTATCGCGCTTTTCCTGCGAGTTTACGCACGCAGCCGCATGAAGGCGAACCGGCAGTCATCACTGCCGCAGAAGGTGTAGCGCTCCAGAGGCGCACCAAAGTACGAAGTACGGCCACGTTTTCTGTGGTGCTATTTGTCTTTTTGTTTGTTTGCATCTTGTTCCTAGTTCTTTAATGCTGTTACTTTGGATGCTTTGTTTTGCTTTTGTTGATATTGGTATAAAAAAGGGAGTTTTGACTGTCAGATGCCCCTAAGGGGCCAACACAGCATACATTTTCAGAGGCTTCGAGTGCCTATATGATTGTCTTACATTTCAAACTCCAAACAGCCTCTGGAGCTCTATCCCTTATGTGTTTGGGGTTTTTTTACTTTTAACCACCATATGTGGCTTTTGCAGCCAATTTAAGGTAAATGTATGCCTCAGCATTAATCAACACTATCCAAAAAACAATAAAAACGTCAGCTTTTTCTTAAAGATGCTTTATTTATGTCCGGGTTACAGAAATACCATATAAACAGTTTCATGCTGAGAATAAACGTCTGTGTCTTTATGTAATATTTTATATTTTAAAACTGGAAACACAGTTTTGTAAACACATTAGATGCATTTCTGTTAACTTGTCCAATATTTCAGCAGCTTCCGTTATCATATTTCGGGGGGAAATAACAAATGGACTGTAAAAAGTACATAATTTTAATTAGACTTCATAGCACCAATTGAATTTTTATTTTTAGTTTGGTTGTAAGTTCAAAACATCTGTTCAAGAAAACAAAAAAAAAATGTCAATATGTCCTTTATTATCTTTCCAATGAGCATTTCTGTTTTTTTCTTCTCTAAAGGACTGACTGGTTTGTTTTTATGTGAATGTTTGGATGAACACTGTCACAAAGATGTGAACTTACTGTAGTTTTCAGGTCAGAATGCACACAAGGGAAATGCAATGTTACTGATACCTGGTTTTTATCATTCTACTACTTTTCTTTGGTTAATGGATTAATAATAAAACCTGTTAAATTAACGTGACATTATCTGGTGAAGTCTTGTTTTTTTAAAGTCGACACAGATTTAAGAACCACACCACTTACAGATATAGTGCCTCACAAAAGTATTCAGATCCCTTTTGTCACTTTAAACCAAACACTTGAAATTTTATGTTACAATGTAACTGTGAAGTATTTTACAAATAGAAATCAGAAAACACTTGGGGTTCATTTTTACTGTCCTCCCTGTACTAATGAAACAAATAGTTACTGTCAGAAGTGTGTGATGGTGTAGTTGGGACATTGTTGACAAGAGGAAAAAAAAGTACATATTCTAGAAAAAAAAAAAGACATTTTGAATTTATCAGAAATTTCCTAGGAAATTTATGAGCTTAAAAATTTTTTAAATTTGATAGACCATGGAAATTTTGAGATTTTCCAAGTTTTCTCCTTTTCCAGTCTTTTATTCCTCAAAGACAAAAAGATTAGACGCATCTGATGTTGGGGACAACAAATATGAAGTAAAGTTCTCTAGTCATTGACACTAAATTTCAACTTCTTGTCTGAACACAGCAGATCTACAGTAAAACGTGGTGGTGGCAGGATCATCCTTTTCCTCAAGTGCAGCAGGAAAACCTGGTTGAGACTGTTAAGACTTGAGATCTCATTTAACATGTGTAAATGAACATTTTGAGATGATTTCCCCTTGCGTGACAAGAAAAGGCCGATGTTTGCTACTGTAAAAGTCTGTGCTGTCGTGATGTGGTGGGAGTTTAGTTTGCAGGGGTTGGATGGTCACACCAAATCAATGCAAAGCCTCTCAGATTGGTCAGCTTTAACTTCATGATTTGTCGGTGACTTTCTCCCAACATGCATCTCTCCTGTCTCAACCAGATGAACAACTGCCAGCTTAAACAATTGTTCTAATGGTGACCCAAAGCTTTCATTAAACACTTCACTTCATTTGTATTTTGACTTCAGGACACTTTAAATTAGTAATTTAATTATTTTTCCATATGGCAATATTTTTTGTACTCATTCCACTCTCTCTTATTCGAAGCAACGCCAACCAGAGTTGTTTTCGAAATACGTCTGAGGTGCTCTTTGCATGTTGCACGGATGCATTAACCAATCCGTTCTTATGATTCACCGAAAATCAAACTGAAGACCGGGTTTGACTGTGAAGTGTGAGAAAACGTTTCCCCCTTGTTCATTAATCTGAAGGTGCAAGCGGGGAAATCCCCCAGTTCCTCTTGTTTCAGAAGGTTTAATATAACGCTGCATCATCGTCACAGCATTTCCAGTGCTCTTTTCAATAATTCAAATGAGTTACCAAAAGACAAGAAAGGTCAGATGAAAGAGAAACCACAGACACATTGCCCTCTGATTTCAGCCCCTGGTGGACCAGTCACTTTGAACTCTCGCTTTGACTGCAGAGACAACCAAACCAAGAACTCTGACTCTTCGTTGGGCACCATGAATTATACAGCCGTCTTAAATTAATCCGGAGATTCCCGAAATAATCTTTTCATCTTCAACAGCACCTGCTCTGGAGGAGAGGTTAGAGGTCATAAATCATCATCTTTACCACTTTTCCCTTTCAGTTGTCTCAAGACTTGTGTCTGAAGATAGTTACATTCATTTCCATTCTGAAAGTTGAAAAAAAGGAGTCACTTATTATTAATGCCTCCAGATTGAATGTGAGCATGAGGCAAATATACAGAGATGTGTTCAGTGAGGAGATTGTTTGAAAGCAGTAGCTTGGAGACCAAATGGAACGGCACCCTATGTAGGAATTTAAAAGCCCTCCCTGTTGAGCCCAGTTAGCCTTTAATTTACTATGCAGCCAAATGTGTGGTTGTGTAAAAAATAAGCAACAGCAACTGGAAGAAGCTAAAAATTGGATACTTTAAGGGAATAATTTGTCTCCACCAAATTAATTTTTTATGTAAACAAATGAAAAACATGATAATTTAGGCAGTTTTTTGTTGTATTGTTGGATTATAACCGAGGCAAGTGAGGCATGCATAGCTTTAGATGTTATCCTTGGTTAGTTCTGTTTTCTACATTTGTAGGTAATGGCTCTCACTGTGGTTCACTGAAGACCCTCAGCCTTAGAAATGAGTTTCTAATCCTTTCCAGACTGATAGATGCTCAGATATTGGGCCAGTGTGTAGATTGTGAAATGAATCCAGCCCAAAATTATGGTTAAGTACAAGTGAATGTATGGTTGAACAAGACTGGTTAATAGTTTTTACATATGGAGAAGTTGGTTTGCATACATTTTCTTCCTCTTAGATGACAAAATCAGAGTTTCACAACTTTTTTCTTTTGAATGCTCTCAGAACATTCTTGCTTGTCTTCTGATTTTAACATGTGTTTAATTCTCTAAAACATTTCAGTTATACAAAGGTCACCACAGATCAAAACTGTAATTTTTCACAGCTGTATATGGTAACGAACATTTTGTTTCAGACGGGTGTGGCTGTAAAGGCTATTTCTGTGCATTTTAAATTATTTTATCTGCTTTAAGAGCAATAAAAAGACTGTTGTGGTTTGACTGTATTTCAAGATTTTATGGAATCTGTCCTGGAAGGCGTTTGTAAGGCCACAGTCGCAAAGAGCAACCTAAATTAATCAGGAATTTATTTTAGTCATCTGCTACATGAAAAGAAACCCAATTTGAGTGCTAAACATACAAAAAAAATTACATTCGCATAAAGTTATGTGCGTCTAGGGATTTTTAAACCAGTTGGACCAGTTTCCAGTTTTGTTGATTCTTGCTCACTGAATGTGTGGAAAGGAATCAAGCTGGTCTTGATTTTTAACGGCTGAGTTATCAATGTATGGTTTTAAAAAGGATCAACAAACAAGATAGGAACTGCGCACAATGGCCAAATATGTACAGAATGTCACACCCCAGGGTTAAAACCTTACTCTTTAAACAAAATACTGTGACAAAATAGATTTGTACATTTAAAATTTTTTTTATTTTTCTATGATATATGATATAATTATTAATTATGATACTTATCATACTTAATGTTAAGTATATCATTAATTATTAAATTAATACATATTAATTTGAATTATAAATTAATTTGACATTAATTTATAATAAAATGCTTCAAGACGACAACTAATATAAATTACTGTGAATTGTGCATATTTACAGTTATGACTGAACGTCTTAAATTAGACATGATTTGCTCCAGGGTGTCCGCACATCCTTAAAAAGTCTTAAATTAATGTATCTAAACTTCAGGTCTTAAACTGTTTGCAAAGAATAAGTTGGCTTTTGTTATGTTAATTGTACATCTTAATTTTTTTCTGGCACGACTATTTAATCTTGTATATTCTATGTAGCCTTCTTTTTTCTCGCTGGACTTTATTATCACATGAAAGTTTGTAATAATAAAGCTGACATCTGCATTCTGTGACTCCAGGCGGCTGCAGCTACTGCTAGCGTACCCTTGCTAGCTATCTAGCTTTTTATTGCCATAGTTGGTAAGAACATTTAGTTTTTTTCACCAACTAGTTCGACAATGTTTTCTCTGCTATTGAACTTCTATCGTTCATGAAAATGAAAATCTCACTTTTTCACGTCATTATTATTTCCATCATTTGTAAACAACTGCACAGTATTTTCAAATACTTTTTTCTGGTTTCATGTTTTCTGCTTTGCAAATACCTGGCATTTCAACAAGGGTGTGTAGAGCTTTCATATCCCACTGTAGTTTCGTTGTTGTCTGGTAAAGTCTTTGAACCGGCCACCTTTGAATATTTCACACCAGTGCTAGCAGGTGTGTTACCCCAATCATAATGGTGCTACTTTCCATTTTGTGATTTTGCACACTGACTTTCTCACTTCCACATGTGTAACTTTTCTCCCCACATGGAAAGTGGAAGTGTTATTGGTCGTGAATGCTGAAAAATTCCTACACACTGGTTCTTTTAGCAGCAGTTGGACCACAGCATTTCCAACACCGTCACACAACGCTGTCAATTAAGAGTGGAGAATAAACACTGAGTGTCAGACCACATGTGATTGTTCACTCCTTTTCACCTCGTCGTAAAAGGTTACTGTGGGTGTCTTGCATTTTATACCCTATGACACAGGCCTTGAATTCACTTCTGCAATCCATTTTTTTATCATCTTATCTGGCTTCCTTTCTTCTTGATGTGGGCGTCAATCCTTTTCCTGTCGAGTGTTTATAAGGTTCAGTCAAACCCATCACCTCCTGACGTAGCAGAAATGTTTCAGATCATGAGTAGTAGTTCTGTGTTTACGCTCACATCGAGCCTTTTAAATGTCATTGAAACCTGATGGCACGCTGGCATGCCGGATATGATGTCAAATTTCACCTTATCTTCTTGAGGCTGTATTTGTAAGTCTGTTCATGACTGTAACCCTCTGATGTTGTGTTTTCGTTGATTGTGAAACAGAGGTAACTTGTAGTCGCTGGCATCTTGACACATGCCAAAGGCAAATAGGACGCTAAGTAAAATATGCCAGAAATTAATCAGAGACCGAAAGACTCGCCAATGAGAGGCATTTAGTTTGATGGTTGCCACATTTAAAGGTGATTCAGTTGCAATACCAGAGCTGCAAAGGTCACAAGATGCATTTATACCTCAAAGCCCACTGACACACCAGGACCCCCCACTCTGAAATTTTTCAATTTGCATTTGTGGTCGAGAACAGATTTACACAAGAGACTCAAATGTTTCCACAGGAAGTTTTTAGTTTTGTAAGGGGGGTATGTGTGGGGGGCGAATCAGGTCTGAGCATTTCACCTTTCAACTGAATGAAAATGGAAATACATGCTGACTCATGATGACTTTCACTGAGATTGTTTCCAGCAGCACTCGACTTCAGCAGAGAGATTTGATGAAATGCCGCTATCATGTTACGCGATTCATCGTTTTCAATCTTGACCCAAGAACAGAAAGACTTCTTCATATTTGTCACTGAACAAAAACTGATAATGTGAGATGCAATGATTTGAGAAATTCTCCACTGATCTGTTTTTTTTTTTCTTC